GTTGATCCGTGTCGCATACCTGCTGGTAGTTTCCCTGTGTTTTCTGGCGCGCCTGGCGAAGATATCGAGGTATTCTTTCTAGAGTTTGATTCAGCTTGCGAGGCGTATGGGTTTCCACCTGTCGAGCGCTGCGAAAATTTGTTAGATACCGATTTTGATCAAAGTTGTAGTTCACCTGTGGCCTCGTCCTCGAGACTTATGATTAATGATCGCGATGCACTGCGGTACCGATTCTTGCGCAAATCTTTGAGGAAAGAAGCATCGAGATTTTTGTTGGCCTGCGATAAATCGGTAGTCGAAGATTATGTACAATTGAGAACTGTGTTGGTTGATCACTTTTTGCCAAAAGAGAATTCGTCTTTGTTTCGAGTCAAACTGCGCCATCGTAGACGATCCCCAAACGAATGTTTGGTAAAACTCGCCACCGATATAAGACTAATGACTGCGCGTGCATATCCTTCTGCGACGTCGGAAGTAATCGACGACATCGCAAAAGAAGCGTTTATTGATGCTTTAGATCCGCCAATTAAAGATAAAGTAATCGATTTCGATCCACAGACACTTGACGCCGCACAGCGTAGAGCTTTGGTAGTGGAAACAAACTTACAGAAGTCGAGTACGGTCCTCGCAGCTGCGGCCGCCGAATTTGCATCTGTTTCTCAAGTACGCGCACCATCGAAAAATTTTGACGAAGACGAACTTGTTGAGCGTGTAGCTGAGCGTGTTAGCAAAATTTTGTTGGAACACCAGAAACCGGCGAGTAGTCGACCTCGCTCACCTTCGCCTGAGCGCCGAGATTTCAAACGTCCGCACAGCTCGGAATCGCGTAGCCAAATGGGGGATCGTAGGTCGGATCGTAGAATCAGTTTCCGCGAACCGCCTGTTTGTTTCTTTTGTCAGCGTCGAGGACACATTGAACGTGACTGTTTCACCAAAAAGCGTTCCCAAAACTCGCAACATTTTGGCGACCGCTCGGACTCACGTAATTCTTTAAACCGCTTTTAGTGGCTGACGAGAGGCTGCCAACCACTTCTACTCCGATATCGAAAATCACCACCGATACGAACACTTTTGCCTCGACCTTTAATCCTTTTACTTTGTTACTGCCGTACTCGATCCTGTTATTTACGATGTTCCTCCATGCCGTTCATTCTGTTAAGTCGACTGTCACTCTGTTATTACCGTACTCGATCCTGTTCTTTAAGATGCTTGTTCACGCCCTTAAATTTGTTACGTCGATTATAGGGAGATTTCCGTTCTTGTGCATTGCCTTAGTGTTACGCTTACTGGGGTTCGTGGTTTCTATTGTGAGGGGGGTTGTTTCCCCTGTGTTCACCCGAACTGCCCACTGCGTTCGTCGATATTGGACGAAAGGCTGCCATTTGCAAATAAAAATTTCCAGACGACAAAAAGGCAAAGGCGCAGTGGTAGCAGCTCTGGTGGACACGGGGGCAGCATTCACGGTAATTCGAAAAGATGTATTTGAAACATTTGCACCGATGACTACACTCGCGCCTCAGTCCACAGTTGGTATCGATGCACTCCAAAGCGCGACGGGGTCTTCGATTAAAGTACATGGGGTCGCGCAGGTTTGTATCGCATTCGACCATTCGACAGTAGTAAAGACTAAAGCTTTGGTAGTGGAGGGGGTACAAGAGGAGGTGATTATTGGTGTAAACACGTTGACTGGCCATGGCATGAGCATTTCATTCGAGTCCGACCACACACTTACCGCGTATCGAAAATCGTTTCCATTGCGTTCGAAGAGTTCCGTAATTCCAAAACACACCATCTCATCCTCATCACCTCTATTCCCAAAGCTTGACGATAATGTTCCGATAGAAGATAAGAGTTTGCTTAATAAGTTTAATTGGTCTGGTTGTGTGGGAGATAGCGCTGCGATTAAGCATTTACAACGACTTTTGTTAAGCATGCGATCAGTAATTGCGGTAGATGATAATGACGTTGGAAAGACAGACGAAATACATCACACTATCACACTTACCGACAATCGTCCGATCCGCCACAACGCCCGTCGATTATCACCGGATAAAGCGAAGCTGACTCGTAAATTAGTAGATGACATGTTAGAGCAAGATATTATCGAACCGAGTTCTTCACCGTGGGCAAGCCCAATTGTTTTAGCGAAGAAGGACGGAGGTGGGACACGATTTTGCGTTGATTATCGAAACTTGAATAACGTCACGCGAAAAGACGCTTTTCCTTTACCGCGCATCGATGACACGCTCGACGCATTGCACGGCGCAAAATACTTTTCGACTTTGGATTTGCAATCGGGTTATTGGCAAGTTTTGGTAGCGCCCGAAGATCGCGAAAAAACCGCTTTCGTCACGCCCCACGGTCTCTATCAGTTTCGCAGAATGCCTTTCGGACTCACTAACGCACCCGCCACGTTTCAGCGATTAATGTATACGGTTCTTAAAGGTCTTTTGTATGTTAAGTGTTTAATCTATCTCGATGACATAATTGTTTTCGGTCGCACGCGGGAAGAGCATGCGGAAAATCTTTTAGCTGTTTTGAAAGCTCTCGAGAGCGCAGGTCTTAAGATTAAACCTAGGAAATGCAATTTGCTGCGTACGGATGTTTCTTTTCTGGGACATTGCATTTCAGAAAAAGGGGTTACACCAAGTGCAAAGAAGGTAGATCAAGTTTCTGAGTGGCCAATTCCGAAGACAATCAAACATGTACAGGGGTTTGTGGGTTTTGCAAACTATTATCGCCGCTTCATTCGTAACTTTGCTCGTGTTGCTGCACCTTTGACGAAATTGTCCAGGAAAGGTCAAGTTTTTCAGTGGGGTAAAGAACAGTTGGACGCATTTATGAAACTGAGATCTGAACTTGCAACTGCACCTGTTTTGCCGTATCCAAACTGGAACCGTCCGTTTATTTTAGACACTGACGCATCGAATTCCGGACTTGGCGCAGTTCTTTCACAGCTTGATGACGATGGTGTAGAACGACCAATTGCGTTTGCTAGTCGTAGTTTATCGGACCCGGAAAGAAATTACAGTACAACGCGACAAGAACTTCTTGCGGTAGTATGGGCGACTGAACATTTTCGAGTCTACCTTTTGCATGCGCAGTTTCAGATTCGTTGCGATCACCAAGCGTTGAAATGGCTACGTACTTTCAAAAATCCAAGGGGACAAGTTGCCCGTTGGATCGAACATTTGTCGGAATATGATTATGCATGGATACATCGCCCGGGCGCACAACACGGAAACGCAGATGGTCTTTCAAGATACCCTGTCGATGACGCGCCGCCCGCGATTAACTCGCTACATTTTCTAGGCAGTGATGAGGCATGTAGGGAATGGCAAGAAGCTACTGACAACGATCAAGATCTTAAAGAAATCAAAAACCTATTACAAAGCGACAACCGCAATAAGCAACCGACTCGTCCAGGCGCACGCGCTCTATGGACCGAAAAAGGTAAACTTTTTGTCGACAATGGTTTGGTTTATCGAAGACTTCAGATTAATGCTAGCCAATTGATTGTTCCTCGCACATTTCGTAGTCGTATTATTCGTGAAGCGCACTCGACAGCAGTGACCGGCCATTTCGCCACACGACGCACGATTGCATTAGTCGCGAAAAAGTATTTTTGGATTGGGTTTCGCGCTGAGATTGACGAATTTTGTCGCAGGTGTACCGACTGTCAGCGTTCGAAAGCAAAGAATCCAGTTGATCGTGCACCTTTGCAACATTTGGCTTCTTCCAAACCGCTTGAACTAGTTGCAATGGATCTGATGGGCCCACTGCCAATTTCATCGTCAAAAAATGCATATATTCTCGTGGTTGTTGATCATTTTTCAAAATGGACTGAATGCTATCCATTGCCAGATATTCGTGCATGTACTGTCGCTCAATGTTTTGTAAAAGAGTTTGTGTCTCGCCATGGTTTACCTGAGCGCATTCACACTGACCAGGGTAAGCAGTTCGAATCACTATTGTTTCGCGAGCTATGCCTACGTCTTGACATTGATAAATCACGAACGACTCCGTATCATCCGCAGGGCGATGGTGTTGTTGAGAGAGCGAATAGAACGATCCAGAATGTTTTGAAGATTTTTGTTGACGAGGCCAATTCAAATTGGGACGAGCTACTTCCTTCGACGATGTTAGCGTACAATACGAGTGTTCACGCGTCTACGAATTTTACGCCGTATTCTTTAATGTTTGGTCGCGAGGCACACATGCCTCTCGATATTTTGTGTCCTCCGCCTGCCGACTCACTTCCTGAAACGCACGAATCTTTTGCGAATGAACATGTTTCAAAGTTGCGTTCCTCCTACGATTTGGTTCGAAAACATCTCGATTCTAGTCAACGTTGTTCTAAAGTCCGTCACGATCGAAAATCTCGCGCTAGCCCATTGAATGTAGGTGACCGAGTTTGGTTACATCGACATCCGCCGCCTCAAGTTTCGCCTAAATTTTTCAAATATTGGTCGGGACCTTGGGAAATTGTAAAGAAACCGACAGACGTTACGTATGCGATTGAACCTCGATTTGAGAGTCCTATCCGCCATCGGCCTTGCACAGTCCATCGAAATCGCCTTCGGAAATGTTTGACACAAATGGGACCTGCTGCACGAACACCGCTTGCTGCGCCTACACGAACAACTCTTGCTGCGCCTCCGCGACCAACACTTGCTGCACCTACACACACGTACAATACTCGTTCTCGCCCTCCGACTTAATTTAATATTCTTTACCGATAAGTGTCCTTTAATTCGGTGTTGTTTTGTTTGGTGTGTGTGGTCGGTTGTTTTGCTTCGTTGTTCTCGTCCTGGGTGTGGGGCTTCACTCATCACCATGATAGCGAGTATGTCTCTTTCGCCTGATGACGAAATGGCAGCAGCCCTCTTGCTTCCGCTTCCGCCGAATTCGCCGCCCTCGTCTCCTCCGCCTCCACCTCCGCCCCAAACGCCGCCGCCGCATCCGAATTGCGCCATGTTAGAGCCATGGGATATCCAACCATGGGGGACGCCGCCGGAATTCGACGACTGGGTGCGGCAAGCACCGTCGCCGCCGTCGCCACGGACGCCCGTCCTTCCATCTCCACCACCGACGCCCGGACTAATCAGGCCGGCACGATTGGGCGCCGCGCGTCGCCACCCTGTTATACCACCGCGCCCTCCATCGGCAGAGGAACTGGTAACGGCTATTCGTCAGCGCCTGATTATCCGCACTTACCGACCACCGCTCCAACGACCACGCCCGCCTCCTCGACAACGACCACGCCCACAGCCTCGACAACGACCACGAACGATACGCCCGACGATACGCCCGACGAGACACCGATACTTCGACGCCGACGTTCTGCCACCGCACCGCCTTATTATGCCGACCGTGCCCCGCCACGCACCGTACCGTCACTGGACTGGCCCTCCACCCAATCGTCGTCCTCGTTATGTGTTTCCTCGTCGGGGTCCGGTGTATGACCACTCCCCCCGTTGGTTTGTATGGTGATGTCCTGGTCCTGATTGTCTGTCTACTGTTGTCCTAATCGTTTTTTGTGCCGACTTGTAGCCATTGTGTTTCCCTTGCCATGTTGTGTGTGCGTTGTTGTTGTTGTTGTGTGGGTGCGTTTCTTTTTCTTCTTTTTTTCTATTTTTGAACTTGCGGGTTGTATCATTTGCGCGTGCGGTTTTTGTGTCTTGTGGGTCTTAGTCCGTTTGTCCCGATGATGTTGCTCGCGCGTTTACTCTTTTCTGAGCGAATGTGCAACTGAGGATTGTCTCGTGTACGAATAATTCTTTTCCTCGCAGATCGACGGTGTTCGCCTCGCCATGCGTTAGCTTGTTCCCTTACTGTTTAACGCCTACTGACATTCCTATTTTTGTTTCTAGTATACAGCCCGCATTTCGACAGATTTCGCCACGTCATGCGCACGCCTGTACCTTTGTTGTCCACCGTTATGCCTGGTTTTGTTTGCGTTTATGTGTGTGGACGTGTTGAATGTGCGGACAGGCGCTTCGGAAGTTGTCTTCTTCCGGGGTGCCTGTCGTTTCTTCGTCGTTGTATTTTTCCTTGGTGTTGCGTGTGCGGGCAGGCGCTTCGGAAGTTGTCTTCTTCCGGGGTGCCTGTCGTTTCGTTGTCGTCGTCCTTTTCCTTGGTGTTGCGTGTGCGGGCAGGCGCTTCGGAAGTTGTCTTCTTCCGGGGTGCCTGTCGTTTCGTTGTCGTCGTCCTTTTCCCTGGTGTTGCGTGTGCGGACAGGCGCTTCGGAAGTTGTCTTCCGGGGTGCCTGTCGTTTCTTCGTCTTCGTCCTTATCGTTATTCTTAGATCGCCTCAAGAGTTACAACTTTGTATGCATCTTAAATATTGATCACATTCATGATTGTGTTTACTACTGTTTTAACTATTTTTCTTGTTCCCTCAGCAATTATTCACAGGTCAATTTAAATTTTTTGTTGTCCCATAAATGTCTGTATATTCGAGCTATTTGCAATTTTTTCCCCTTCCTTTTCTCCACGTGGACGCGGAGTCTTTTTCAAGCAGGGGTGGTATGTTAGGTTCACGATTTCACATATGCACGCACTCGCACACTCGTACGCACTCGCACCCTCGAACTCACCTTTACAGGCGCGCACTCACTTTCACTCTCGTACTCACCTTTTCGGGCGCGCACTCACTTTCACTCTCGTACTCACCTTTACAGGCGCGAACTCACCTTTCCGGGCGCGCACTCACCTTCACAGCCTCGTACTCACCCTGGTTGCTTTTCCTAATCTTTTCTTTCTTTGGCCTGGGTAGCTGGACTCGCGCTTTAGCACATTTATCTCCATAGCTACCCAGGCCCTAGATAAGCTCTTGCTGGAGCATTTGCTCTGCCCCTTCTAGCCTGTCTAGCCTTGTCGTGCTCGCCTTGCTTGGTCTTTCTTACCTTATCCTATCCCGAACCTTTGAGATTCCTTGTCGTGTCGACTTGCTCCGATCGTTGAAGTGTGACTGTATCAGTCCTAACAAATGCATGGTGCAGTGCAACACCTAAGTACACATGTACTGTACTGTGTAGTGTGTAAAATGCATGGTGCAGTGCAACACCTAAGTACACATGTACTGTACTGTGTAGTGTGTAAACTGCATGGTGCAGTGCAACACCTAAGTACACATGTACTGTACTGTGTAGTGTGTAAAATGCATGGTGCAGTGCAACACCTAAGTACACATGTACTGTACTGTGTAGTGTGTAAAATGCATGGTGCAGTGCAACACCTAAGTACACATGTACTGTACTGTGTAGTGTGTAAAATGCATGGTACAGTGCCACACCTAAGTACACATGTACTGTACTGTGTAGTGTGTAAACTGCATGGTGCAGTGCAACACCTAAGTACACATGTACTGTATTGTGTAGTGTGTAAAATGCATGGTGCAGTGCAACACCTAAGTACACATGTACTGTACTGTGTAGTGTGTAAAATGCATGGTGCAGTGCAACACCTAAGTACACATGTACTGTACTGTGTAGTGTGTAAAATGCATGGTGCAGTGCAACACCTAAGTACACATGTACTGTACTGTGTAGTGTGTAAAATGCATGGTGCAGTGCAACACCTAAGTACACGTGTAATACAATCATCATGTAGTTAGTACGGCCTTAAGGATAAGTCCTTGTTTCGTGAGATTAGTTACCAGGACAACAGGCACTTCGTACATAACTACTCTCTCACACATGCAGTCATCTTTAAACAATTATGCTCTATTTCTGATTCCTGTTATCATGAAGTACATAGTCAGCCATCTCTCTGTCCCCACGTCGTTTCTCCACTGACCAATTTTGTCATTATCAAATGTCAACCTTCAGCATATCCCTACTCTATTTGAGAGCGATGGAAAAACGGATTTACATAAGAATTAGCTGAACTATAGTCACCATCAGTGCACACACAGGCATGAAAACAGTTCAGTAACATGCTTCACCGCACTCATACATGTACATTAGACATCCTTAGCAAAAGTACGATAACGCTAACTTTTACGGTACTCACTCCCAGCCGTGACAAAAGACGTTATCGGATAACGGAAAAACGTTACAGAGCTCAAAATAACGGGCCGACGTTCGTTATGGAAATTCTGCAAAAAATGCAAAAACTCGCATTGTTTTGTAACTGGCGGGAGATAAAAAGCAGGTCGACGTGCAGATCGAGATGAGATCGAGAGTCGAGATTGCTTCCTCTTGTGACATTTAGCTTTTTGGCGAGTTTTGCCTTTCAGTTGACAATTTCTGCGTCCTCTGCTTCGTGCCGTTCTCCCTCTATCCCATCTGGGAAACAAAGGACCAGTTCCGCGGCACTCCTGAGGAAGAAATTCATCGGCCTCTCCCAGACGTGCTGGAGCTGGAGAACCCTTACAGTCTTCGGTGCTGCGTTTAGGAAAGGGTTTCCAAGGACCTGGGAACAGCGAAAACTCATGTTCGCCGTGCTTTTGCTATTCCAGAGTAAAAGACCTCGCCAAGGTATTCTTTCGGAACGACAGCAAACTAATCCCTGGTTCAAAATTTTGAATTTCCCGCATCTGTTTCCACGAAAATTTATATCGCCATGGTTGTCACGACTACTTCGTTTCAACTATAACGTACTTTGTGCTAAGGGAAAAGTCAGCTTGAACGATCCGAGGTACGGAAAGGCTTGCGTTTACGTTAGCGTTTTTTTAGCTAAGGATATCTAATGCATCCAGCACAACACATTGAGCAGCAGACGGCACACTGTGAAAATCGGGTCTCCGTATGGATAACAAAAACAAGACTTCCGAATAATGATGATGAAAATAGCGAAAGTGCAGTGCACAGTACACTAACAAGTTGTGTACCGTAATGACGTAATGACGTAATGACGTAATGATCCGGCAAGGCAATTGCAGCAGTGGTACATGGTGTAAAGTGTAAACGCATCATGTTGTGCAATGATAAGGAAAATAAGTGCAAGATCAGTGCAGACACACACGCACACACATTCTGTGCTGTAATTAAAAAAGAAGGCATGCAAAGTAAAGTGCAGTTCCGACAAAGTGGGTTCCTTACTGATACAGAAAACAGCAGAGCATGAAAATACATTGCCGACTTCACCATATAGAATACTAGAAGCGAAAAGCAACAAAAACGGCAACGAAAACAGTTGGCAGTGAAAAAGGAACGAAGACAGCTGGCAATGAAAACGCAACGAAAACAGCTGGCAGTGAAAAAGCAACGAAAACAGCAATGAAAACAGTGCTGAGCTGCACAAAGACCACACTGTGATTTCACATCATGGATAAAAGTAATGAAGTGCATGATCAGTCCACACACCCACACACACACCTATTCTGTGCTGTAGTGATAAGAAATGATACAAGTGAAACAGCAGTGTACACAAACACATCATGTTGTGTAACTGTCACAGAAAACAAATGAAACCATCACTGCACACACACACATACCCGCAATCATATTGCAGGTCAGTAGTGATGTAGGCTGGCAAGGGAATAACAATGACAAAAAAGCTCACTGGGGTCTGGAATGATGGGTAAAAAAGAGGGAAACTGTGGGTCACACAAACAAATTCTGTGCTTTAGTGATGAGAAAAATAAGAAGCGAAACTGCAGTGCTGTAGTTCATAAACATAATAATTGTGTCATGTAAAAATAAAAGTAAAAACAAGTAACATCGCAATGCGCACACGCACACATACATTTCCATGAGGTAATGATGAAGACTAGCATGTGAAGCTGCAGTGAAATGCACAAAGCGTGTTGTGATCAGAAATGATGGATAAAAACAAGTCGAACTGTTCAACATACAAACAACCATGACAGTGTGTTCTGTTACGTTGTAGTACTAAAAGCAAGCCAAACGGGAACTTCAGGGCAAATACACACATGGACATCATTGATGACGAAGAAGAGCAAGCGAAATGGCATTACACACAAGCACATTGTGCTACAAAAATAGCTAGGCAAATTTTGCAGGCGGCAAGAAGTGCAAATGCACAAACAAACACACACACACACATACACACGCACACACACACACACACACACATACATTCAACATACACATTCGCTCACAAACACATACATTCATAAAAAAACTTAAAAAAGACGAGTGAAAGTGTCAGTGAACACAAAAGCAAAATCCATAGTTCTGTCTGAGGTAAACAAGAGAAAGATTGGTGTAAACACATGCAGGACATTTTGCAAGTGAAAGAGTAAACAACAAATTGCCACAATGGCCAATTTCTAGCCAGCATGACTACTGGTTGATGATAGGAAACATCAGCCACTGTTCCGACTCTGTCCTCAGTGACCATGACAACGATGACCTGGTTAGAGAGTGTAGACACCTGTAACATGTATGTGACAAACAAACAAATACATGATGTACACATCATTTATACACACACACGTACACAAATACATGATGTACACATCATTTATACACACACACGTACACAAATACATGATGTACACATCATTTATACACACACACACACAAATACATGTACACACCATTTATACACACACACGTACACAAATACATGATGTACACATCATTTATACACACACACGTACACAAATACATGTACACACCATTTATACACACGTGTACACAAATACATGTACACATCATTTATACACACGTGTACACAAATACATGTACACAACATTTATACACACGTGTACACAAATACATGTACACATCATTTATACACACCTGTACACAAATACATGTACACATCATTTATTGCTGCTTTCTCCCTACAGCATGGTCTGGATTGCATGAAGGGTGGGCTCATCAAGCGCGGGCACAACGATGTCCGCGACTTCGATGCCCGGCTGGCAGACGTTGCATGGGGAGGTGTGGCTGTCGAGCCGGTGATGGTACCTGTGCAAGATGGCAACCACCGCCCCACACTGCAGGCGGATTGGCTGGTCCGGGGAGTTTGGGAAGGAGACAGGGTGGCGTACTTTGACAACCGCGTCGTGGATGCCGACGCACCCAGCTACGTCCGCTCGAACCTCTCTTGGAACGCCGTGTCCAACAGTGCTGCCTCTTCCAAGAAGAGAAAGTACAAGGCGGCCGCAGAGGAGCTGCGAGCATCCTTCACCCCGCTGGTCTGCTCAACTGATGGTGCACTGCACACAGAGTACCGTGCGTATCAACGGCGACTTGCTATGCGCCTTGCCTCCAGGTGGGACAAGTCCTACAGCGACGTCATGCCCTGGGTGCGGATCCACCATCAGTTTGCTGTTTTCCGGGCTGTCGACCTTCGTCTCCGGGGTTCACGTCGTCGTCTCGGTGGGCTGGCAATTTGCGATGGTGTCGGCCTTGGCGTTGGCCGTTAACATTCATGTGTATGGCACTTATTGTTGTTGTTGTTGTTGTTGTTGTTGTTGTTGTTGTTGTTGTGTGTGTGTGTGTGTGTGTGTTTGTTTTCTTTCCTTTTCTTTTCAGCTGTCATTTGCCCTGATCATGCCTCATGCGTGTTTCACAGCATAGTACGTTTCCGCTCATTTTCTTCTTCAACACACGCTAGCTGTATTACTTTGTTCTTGCCCGTACAAGAGGCTTTTCCATGTCATTTATACACACGTGTACACAAATACATGTACACACACACACACACACACACACACACACACACACACATACACACACACACACACACACACACACACACGTGCGCACACACACCATGTACCATGTACCATGTAAACGCCCGTCACAAGAGAAGCAAGAAAATGTGCAAATGCACTGGATGTGCACCCACAGATATTTTCTTAAGCCATGGTAAAAATTATCTTTCATTCTCAAGTACTGTAAAATGGCTAATATTCACGACGGATTAATGTTCGCGAGAAGAGAGTAACGCGAATATTAACCATCGTGAAATCTAACTTCAACAGTGGGTGGATGTAAGTGGCCACAGTGTTTCGCGAATTTTTACCATCGCAAACTCGCTGGTTCTAAGAAATCACGAAAATTTATTAGGCCATTTACAGTACCCGCGCACCGAATTTTGGCGGCGTACGGACGATTTTTTATTTCTATGCATGCATATGCGCGCATGAAAACGGTCAATGCGAAAGGCATGAATCAGGGAGTAGTAAAATACCGGTATTTTTCTACTCCCTGGCCTGAATTATTATGAACATGTGACGTCATGGCCATGTACATATGTGTGACCCTATCTTTGGAAAAATATTTGTGGTGAATAAAATAAAAAATCGCTCGCTCGCACCGATTTTCACAGGCTCATGACCTGAGAATCAACTTTATTTTTTACCATGGCCTTGTAGCAACGATAGCGAGCAAGATCTGAATGAGACAGATCAAGACTTGCACCAGATAACTGTCTAATCCACAAAACTGGCGAAGCCATGTGAATCGACCACCAATGCACACCTGGTCTACACCACACTGAGTACATCGGCATAAAACGGCAAAGACAGTTACCTATGCACACCCTACACTTGCTGGGGTAACCAGTATAGACAGCTCGCTGCTTTGATAGAAGCAGACACGAGATGCACTGGTACCTTGAAGTGAAATTGGAGTTATTTTACCAACCAGCCTCGGCTACTGAGTACTGGGAACCCAGAGCCAACAGACATACCAACAACCTCAGCCATGAAAGATATTATAGTAAGGACAAACTGGATTGTTGAGCCAAAACTAGTCCAACTTCCAAATGCTTACCCACACACACACCCACCCACCCCCCCCCCCCCCCCCCCACACACACACACACACACACACACACACACACACACCCCACACACACACACATACGCACACTACTTATTGTTCATTCTCAGCAGCCAGAAATGACCACGCTGCTCCCAAATGTGCGGTGTACTTCAGTACAGGGGTGGTGATGGTGGCAGTGACACCATCACCAACATCAACACCAATGACAAAGACAATAACAACAAAAGACACATGCACACATACACACGCATGCACGCACCCCCCCCCCCCACACACACACACGCACAACACCCCCCCCCCCCCACACACACACACACCACACCCACACACACACACACCCACACCCACACCCACACCCACACCCACACCCACACCCACACCCACACCCACACCCACACCCACACCCACACCCACACCCACACCCACACCCACACCCACACACACACACACACACACGCCCGTTTGGTCTGCGATACAAAATAAAATTTCAACAACAACAACAACACACACACACACACACACACACACACACACACACACACACACACACACACACACACACACACACACACACACACACACACACACACACACACACACACACACACACACACACACACACACACACACACACACACACACACACACACACACACACACACACACACACACACACACACACACACACACACACACACACACACACACACACACACACACACACACACACACACACACACACACACACACACACACACACACACACCTTGAACCTTGAAACTGCCACCTAAAGGTGATGCAGTGCCTCAAAGAGGCAAGGAGGGCAGAGTTACTTCTTGCATTTGTGTTGAGCCAGGTACTGGAGACGTGTGAACTTCCGAGAGCAGGTCGGGCATGGGATGGTGCGGCGCTCAGAGCCAGAGCTGCATGTTCTGCGGTTGGAGTTGCAGTTGTGCCGGCGGTGCCCAGCTTTGCTCCGGAAACAGCGGTCACAGGTGTGGCAGTGGTAATGACATTGGCTGCAATCAGGTGGGCGAGGTGCAACAATCTCTGGCACTGGAGCGTCACCAAGACTGGGAGAGCAGCTGTGCACAGCAAATCCACCTCGGCTAGCAAACCAACGATGGCACGTTTCGCACAACACAGCACCGGCCTGTTCATGGATCGGCTTCAGTCGCTCTTCCCTGCATTTGTGCCGCCGAAGTCCGCTTTCACTGGCGAAGAGTCGCTCACAGATCGCACAACACACTGACTTGGCTGTCGTTTCAAGGCGTAAGCGCCGTGCAACAATAGCATCCGAGATGGACTGGATCCACTCGCCACG